CAAAGGCTTTGTCCAAGCTTTTTCAAGCGTCCTCTGTCCAGGAAGCGTGACACCAGAGCCTATGGGACTAAACAATCTGTCAGCCACTAAAGAGGGACCACGAGACACGCTTCAACCATAACGGCAATGGATTTATACTGTTTCTTGTATCCGGAGTGGGATATTTTCCTTGCTTGTCCTGTACACTTTAACCTTACTGCAGTGTCAACTAAAAAAAAAAAAAAAACACACACAATTCCACTCACAGGTTGCTGCGTTCTGTATTCCCAAGTTACTGCTGGCTGTCACTTTGTCTACATTTCCTCATTGTTCCAAGGTTGTTCTTTGTTTATCCTCCCTGTAGTATTGGTTTTGCTTGTCAGTCTCGGTTTTCCCCACTCGCCTTTCAGCTCACTTGAAACACGTAACAAATCATTCACTTAAAATAGCCAGAGGCCGAGTCCCCAGCCACATCCTTCCAATCATTGTCTCTCTTCTTTCCTAATTTGTTGAATTTAATAAGTGTGGATTCGAACTAACGTTTAACCCTGATTACTGAAAAGAATGAAATGATGGTTTAAGGCCTGGATGTGATTAGTATTTCTGTTTGCATTTAGTTTCATATTGATGCTTTAAATATCTAACAGACTGCATTGTTTTTTTTTTTGTTGTTTTTTTTTTTTTTTGGTCAAACTACAGAATAACATGTGTAGTTAAATCCCATATTGTAAGAAAAGATTATTATTCTCTAACTTTGTTAGTGTCTACCTCCATCTTCTTCGTTCCACTGGTGGTGTCGCTTCTTCAAGATCAGCAGCACCAGATGTTCCACACGCATTGTTTGGAACAGTTCGTTCCAGATTCTTTTTCTGATGCAAATCTCCATAAAGGTTTTCTTCTCCTCCGTCTTCTGCTCTGGAGTTTAAAGGCAGCCTTGTCGACTCACAGATCCAGAGACTTCACGACCTGCTGACCAACAACGTTGTCAGTTTGTGTATTTGATTTTTAGTATTTGAAGTAAACTGAACACAATCCACATTGTATTTTTAAAAACAATCATAAGATTATTTGTTAATTTGGAAATTGTTGTGTTAGCAGCAGATATGCTGTTAACAGGCTGCCACTAGTAAGCACCAAGCATGTGGTTCCTCTGGGAATCCAACCCAGGACTCTCTGCTTCCGAGGCAGACCTACTACCACTAACCACACTATGGAATCAACTAAACTTATTTAGGCCACTTTGCTATAGCTAATGAAAGAAAATGTTGACATTTCATTAGCCCTACTGTGTCCTCTGTTTTAGCTTTGCAACCCCTGAGGGGCCCGCCCCCCCCTTTGGGAACCACTGGTTGGTAATAGTGGAGGGAATCAACCTGATCTTCATCCCTCTGTCACCATGTTTTATATTTTCAGTATAAACCAAACAGTTGCATAAACAGAATCAAGTCGATATATATCAGCTCTCTTTACTTTAGTGGATGTTTGTCAGTACAACCCCCACATTCCCTGAATTTCACAAACTCTTCAGATAAATAACCCAGAGTGGGGCCTACCTTGTGTGACTCTCCTGTCAGCGCTAATGTAAAAGCTGTTTCTTTGCTCCGGCTCTGTCACGATGCATCTGGTCCTTCAGCGATGGTCTCTCTGGCTTCTTCCCCTTCTGTCCTCCCTCTCATCTTTCTCCCTCCCTTGATATGTTCCACGGGCTTGATATTCACCAGGATGACTGGGGGAGCTGCACACACACCGGCTCATCCACACTAACAGTAATTACCCACAAGCCTCTTGTTATGTAGGGAAAATATGTTGAGGGGATGTGACTCTCTGCTCTCCGCTCTCAACTGTTCAGACCAATTTTCAGTTTTATAACTGATACGAACATTTCTTAACTAATATATTACAAAATGATGAAGAACTCCTGGCTGGGTTTACTGTTTGAAATTTAAGTTTCCATATTTTAATTTGTTTTTCTTTCCTGCAAACGTCTGTTCAGGGATCACAAATAACCTGTAGGAGTTTTCATAAACTAACTAACATTTTATCTTTCAGATCATCATACTTTACAACACATACATCAAACTCAAGGCCTGTGGGCCAAATGTGGCCCACCACATCAATTTATATGGCCCATCAGAGATCATCATGTGTATGGTTGTCTTAAATATAAATCTTTACCTCAGAGACGCACTATACTGGACGGGTAAAACACACTGGTCAAATTCAGGTTATTTCAATAACTCGTCACCTCAAACCCAGAGCAGTCATTCCTCTTACTGTTTCACACAGTCTCAGTGGCTCATATAACACATTTGAGAAAACTCGGCTCAATTTGAAAATTTATTTTCATATAAAAAAGACACTATGAAAACATTAGAGGACTACTTTGTACAATCGTATGTATAAAAAGAACAAAAAAATGAGGGAGAAAAAAAAGAAAAGCAGTTTTTTTTTATAAGGGATAAATCAACTGGAACTGTGGACCAGTTGGTTTATGCCTTAAGGCTGGACATGAAGATGGCTATATATGAAAGTTAACCTGCAAATTTCCTCGCGTTCATAATAATTTTTAATTTAAGTTCAGCTGGCCTTTGACAGCAAAAAGGAAAAGAGATCCTGCAGGTGATCTCACATTAATTTGGTCACTCTTATCAAATATAAATCACAGACCTTTTTTACTTACCATTTCTGGAGGAACTTTGTGTTAAGTCTAACAACGCAATGAAAGAAAAAAGACAAATCTCACTACTGTCCACCTCTTCATTTTTCCGTGAGCAGCCGCGGGAACAAGATGTTTACTCAGTAATATCATGTTTAATTGGAAAAAAAAAAAAAAACATCAGTGGAAGGAGCCGTGTTCGCTTTCATTGTCGACATGATGGGGTGGATCTGACATACTCGGACTGGAGTAAGGTTGGGTGAATGTGACCTCAGCTCGGCAATAAGAGGCCAGACGCTTCTTCCTCCTCCAGGAGAGCAGGCGACTGAGCAATAGGCTCGTCTCGCAGCTGATTAGCTTAAAAGGTTAGAAGGCCTGCATTCTTGTCTCCCCATATGTGCTGCACTGCACTACCACCACATTAGGGATCTTAAAACAGATGGGTTAAGGTCTAGATTGCGAAATGTCAGGACAAATCACCCTCCCCGGATAATTGCTGTTTTGAGCACTTCTTTTCTTAATCAATGTCTCTGCCTGTCTCGCTTTTTCTCCAAGTGTATTTTTGGATCCTTTAGCTTGAATAGGATTTTGTTTTTATTGAATTTTTTTTCTCATTGATTTGGACAGATAAACTTTTTTTAACAGGTCAAGAAAATAAAATAGAAGTCTTTCACTGTCAAACATCAGTGTTGGTAAGAGCTTTAAGTTTTCATATTTTAATGAAATACGCTTATGATATTTTATCTTTCATATCGTTATAGCTTACAACGCATACATCAAACTCAAGGCCTGTGGGCCAAATGTGGCCCGTCACATCGATTCATGTGGCCCATCAGAGATCATCATGTGTATGGTTGTCTTAAAAATAAATCTTTATATCAGAGACTCTATACTGACTGTGTAAAACACACTGGTGAAATTTCTTGCGGTAACTCACAATTCTTTTTTCTTGAATTTCAATTATGTTTGGCCTTAATTTTACATTTTTGCCTGATTTGTTCCTTCATTTCAATCAGTCTTTGTTATCTGTGTTTTTATAGTTACGGGCTTTTACTCCACCTGCAGCAATCGTGCCTTTAACTTAAAATGTTCTGTAAACATTATTTGAAGCCCACTTGATCATTAGAATTCACACTGCACATTCTCGCAGGATTGAGGTGTAGCACTAACAAGACCAACTGGATGTCCATCTGCAGCTACCGAGGTACAGATGTAGAATATCAAGCGAGGAGCATCAGTACAGGCTGTTTTCCCCTCACACTTCAGTCTGTCACCTCGTGGCCTCTTGACCTCCTTGACACCTCCTATGTCTTTCTGTTCAACTGTCTTTCCGCTCACAAGCACGGAATGCAATCACATGGAGAGGGCACCATGTGAACACAGTATTACACAACTGCCCTCGGTGCCCGACAACGGCTCTACAAGTCCGCAGGTAGTGCAACGCTTGGCGGGCAGGAAGAGAAGACGGAAAAAGGAAAAGGAAAATTGATTAAGAAACAGAGTTATGTTTTTTACAAATTCTCAAGAAGCGGTGATTTAGCTAAAAGGGATGATCGTTTCAGACCAAACAAAACATGAGCGATGAGGTGCTGAAGAATGATGGTAAATGCAGCAAGGAGAAGTTTAATTTGGGTTGAAAATAACCAAGATGTAATCTTCCCCCAGCATCGTTATAATAGATGATAGCTGAATTGCTTTCAGATGCTGCAATCTTTAAAGGCCTTTATCTCCGAACAGTGGGGGAGAAGAGAAAATGCGAGAATCTGCATGACGATCACTATCCCTTTCCCTCGTGGATAAACAACATGCAGCGCGCATTATTCCGGGAAAAAAACAAATTCACACTTTTTGTCTCTCCTTAAATCGGCTTTTCGGAAATTCCACACAGGGAACGAAAAGACAGAGAATCGAAAACTTGTGAGAAAATAAAGCCATTCTTCTTGAACACACAGATCAGAGAACACAACTCAGTTGGTAGCCTTTTGTTACAGTCTTATTATTTTTTTCATTAAAGTTTCAAACCAAACGAGATGGTGTATTTTGGAAAATACATAAGTGGGAAATACAACGTTGATGAGGAGGATGAGAAAGGAAAGGATGAATGGGACTGACAAAGTGGAACCTGAAAGAAAAGCCGAGGACGGCGAATCAACGAGCAGCTCTCTCCTTTTAACCCGTCCGCTATCCATCTAAAAATGATGAAAAGCAAAAGAGAGAGAAATAAAGGAAAAATGGAGATTGAATGACATCCTCACCATTATAACAGACCTGGAAA